ATTATTGGGATCTTGTACCTTACATGACAGGTCTTGGTTCTCATTTTTTCCCCTTTGTCCCTGCCCTCCCTCACCCGCTCCTCCCCTCCCCATTTACAAATACTTTATTTCCGTTTTTTCATTATCTCATATTTTTTTCTTTTCCCTTATTCCCTTTCCCCTAACCTTCCCACTTTCCCTACAACTTTGGACCTTTTTTTCCTATTTCACATTGTTAATTATCTCATTAGGATCTTGTGTATTGTTATAGTTTTTCACACCAGAGAAACTATCTGGTATTTGCACATGTGACTTATTTATTTCACTTAGGAGTATATCCTCAAAATGTATCCATTTTCCTATGAATGAATATAATTTCTCATTCTTTATGGCTGAGTAGTATTCCATTTTATAGAAAACCCACATCTTCTTTATCCAGTTTCCAACTGATGGGCAAATGGGCTGTTTCCAAGTTTTAGCTATTACAAAGTGTGCCGCTATAAACATAGGTGCACATATATCACTGTGATATGATTCTTTTAATTCTTTTGGAAAGATACCCAGCAGAGGGTTGGCTGGGTCAAATGACCTCTAATCTAATCCCAGCTCTTTGAGGTATCTCCATATTGATTCCACAGCGGTTGCACCAGTCTGCACTCCAACCAACAATGGAGAAGGGTTCCTTTCTCCCCACAACCCTGAAAACATTTGTTATTGTGTGATTTCTTGATAGCAACCATTCTTTGTGGGGTGAGGTGGAATCTCAGTGTTGTTTTCATCTCCATCTCTCAAATGACCAGGTTAGTTTCAACTACATAGTGAAACCCTGTCTCAAAAAAACAAACAAACAAAATTGCCCCAATCCAGAAGATAATACAAAATGGCTTCAAAACCTTATGTTTCAATGAATTGGAAAAATTTTAAATGGAGAAAAGTCTAGATACATACAAATTACCTAAATTGAACAAAAATATATAATATAAGTATTGAAATGCAACATACAACACATAAATATGAAAATTTATTAAATACAATTAAATATACATAGAATATTTTTGAACAGCAGAAATGGAAAAAGAGAGTAGAGAGACACACAAAGAGAATAAACAAAAAATAGCAGAAGTAATTCCTTGTCAAAAATTCTTAAAATGTCAATGGGTAACGCTCTCACAGTAAAAAAAAAAACAGATATTAGCAAGGAGGATAAAAAATATAATATATCATTTTGTATAAGTGAGTGACTCACTTTACATTTATAGACACAAATAAAATGAAAGTGAAAGGATGAAAAGCTATTTTAGCAGAAGTAATTCCTTGTCAAAAATTCTTAAAATGTCAATGGGTAACGCTCTCACAGTAAAAAAAAAAACAGATATTAGCAAGGAGGATAAAAAATATAATATATCATTTTGTATAAGTGAGTGACTCACTTTACATTTATAGACACAAATAAAATGAAAGTGAAAGGATGGAAAAAGCTATTCATTCCATGCAGATACTAACAGTAAGACGGCTGACGCGGCCATATTAGTATTGAACAAAAATAGACTAATTCAAAATTTGGCATGAAGTTCAATGAGATTTTGTATTGGTGAAAGGGTCAGTTCATTAAGGAGATATCACGCTCAGAAACATGGACCAGCATGCACTTATCAGTAGAGCCCCCAAGGCGGGGAAGCAAACTTCTGAACTAAAGGGAGAAATAGTTTAAAAAGAAAGGGTGAAGAATTCCAATCTTGTTTTCATAATGTACAAAACACCTGGAGGTAACATCAAAACAGAAAGAGAAGACGAATAGGCTATAAAATATGCCTAAAAGACATATAGAGTCCTACGCCCAAAATGGTAGGATGAGAATTTTTTTCAAGTCCACGTGGAACATTCTACAGGATAGATCACATGTCAGACCACAAAAGAAGTTTAACATATCACCAAGACTGGTCTTCTAAAATCCCTGTGTAATACAACTAACTTGAAATAATAAAGGAAAAAGTGGGAAATTCATAAATAGGTGGAATTAACTTGTTCTTAAACCATCAATAGGTCAAAGAAGAAATACAAGTAAAATTGGGAGACTCTTTATAACTAATGGAATGGTAATTCCATCTGCCAAGGCTTGTGGGATGCTGTGAATTAAAGCTCCCAGGGAAATTCATTGCTGTAAAAAACCTTCACAAAGCAGAAAAGACAGATCCAAAAGTAATAACCCAATTTTACAGCTAGGGTAGTAACAGGAAAACAGAACCCAAAGCTGGCAGAAGAAATAAAATAATAAAAAAGAGGACATAAAAGAAATAGGGACTAAAGACAATTTTATTTCTCCCTTTTCCAATTTTTCTGGCTTTATTTCTTCTTCCTGCCTTATTGCTCTTTCCAGAACCTTCAGTAAAAGCCTCCTTTGCAGCTAGATGTTATCATGAATTGTCACTGGAACACAAGTAGAGTGAATTTCCAGATTGTCTTGCTAAAGCCGAAGCTGTTATTACCCTTTCCCCTTTCATTGGATGGAATATAGATGTGGAAGTTAGCCACCTGCATCCATAAAAAATGAGATGACATCCTCTAAGCTGCAAAAGCAATATCCTGGGAAGTGAAAGAACAAAAAGATGGAAGGCAACAGAGACTCTGAGAGGCCTTGAGTTGCTGAGCCACCTTGCTAGCCACAGACTGCTCAAACCAGACTGCTTCCTGGAGAAGAAACTCAGACTGGAGCCACAGTATTGTTTTGTTTTGGGTTTTTTTGTTTGTGTGTGTGTGTGTGTGTGTGTGTGTGTGTGTTTTCCTAACAGCAGCTTAATCTGCACCTAGTAAGGGACAACAGTAAATTCCTTTGTTTTTGCAAATGATAAACTTACAGTCTGAATCTCGTATCTTGAAAAATCGAAGTCTTATTTATTCATTGTGTTGGAAATTGATATTTATTTCACCCCCAAATTAGACATTCCAGGATGTGTTCCTGGGTTTATTTTCTTTTTATTGCTTTCCCTTCCTGCTCATTATGCTGCTAACAAAGCTAACAGGTTAATTGATGGCATTTTGTATGGCAATTTTTAAGCTAAGAAAGTTCAAACTTCCTCAATTAATTATTGTAAGTTTCTTTGCCTATTCACAAGAACTTATTCTTCCACATGAATGTTACTGTGATTTTTAAGTTCTTAAAAACTCCATCACAACCCCAGAAAAGTCAAACAAACAAAAGAGAGATTGACTGTAGTAAACTTAAAGAGTAAATTGAAGAGGTTAATATTTACGTCCTCACCCCATGGAGGGTTCCCACTGATGTGCACATTATTTCTCGGAGCCTTTAAAATGTATCTCTGAATAGTTTCAAGGATTTCTTTTTCAAAGTTCTTCCTGTCTCTTGTTAATCTGATTGGAATGGTTGTTGGTGTAACAAACAGTAAATATAGAGCAACGTGTAACAGTGAAACCCCGTTACTGCATATAATTACTATATGGGAATGAAAGATAAAAAATAAATAAGAAATATTTATCTAAATATTAGCTATGTTTAATAAAATACAGTTTAGCATCACTCAGAAGAACAGAGATCTGTCAAGGGTCACCCAAAAACTGGGGAGGCAAAGAAGGGGATAACTGTCAGGTCACCTGACTCCTGAATTCATGCTTTTTCCACTCCATCCAAACTGCTCCTCCTGCCAAGATTTTGCCACTTCCTAGGCGCTTTCTATTATAAATACAGTAGGGCAGATGGGTCAACTGCAGAGCCACTCAATTTTTTATGTTTACTCAACACATTCATACACTTACCCACACTATTTGAGTCTGCCTAATTCCCAGATTATAGTATATTTCTGGAAAACACAATTCACAGTAAAGTATTAAGAATATAGTATGTCATGACTTCTCATTCACATCTTTTTTTTTAATGCTCGATTGATATAGTTTTTAATATAGTAGGCAAATACATACTTTGTGAAATTTATAAAGAAAAGCTTAGGGCCATATACCATACTGATTACCATCACTGGGATTTTACATTGTTTGCACCCCTGTGGAATTATCTGTACTCATCTTCTTTTTTTCCCCCAGCTTT